CACACACACACACACACACACACACACATAAATAAATAAAATTTTTTAAAAAAGACAAGGACAGAAGTGCTACAATGTCAGCTCTGAGTTTATTGTCTAGATTACTTTTCTCTCATTGCTGAGACAAAATACAAGACACCCAAAATTAAGGAAGGAAAGATTTATTTAGCTCACAGTTTGTGGAGGTTTCTGTCCAAAATCAGCTGGCTCCAAGGCATGGTGTCATGGTACAAAGTTAACACTTCAAGCCAGCAAAACAGCACAAGCAAGAGCAAAAAGGGACAGCAAGCCTCTTTTCATCCCTTATATCATAGGCAGGCTAACACACACACACACACACACACACACACACACACACACGGTGCATGTAGCACTCACACCATCTCCCTGCCTTCCTCTTACACAGCATGAAGATGTTTACAGAGGCTGGGGAGATGGCTCAATAGAATAAGTGCTTCCCTGGCAAGCACAAGGGCCTGAGTTCAATCACCAGATCTGCAAAAAGAAAAAAAAAAAAAAATGTTTACAAAGTTCGGACCCTGGCCCCCTGTTGATTCACTTCCTTAAATTTCTAAACTTCTCAATTTAACACAATGTATCAACTATTACAGGTATATTTAGTCTTTTTAAAATTTTTGATGTTTTTGCAGTTGCGGGATTGAACACAGGGCACTATACCACTGAGCTCTATGCCCTTTTTCACAAAAATCAAATAGGTTGATGCCATGGCAAAGCAAGTACTTCACACATGATAGTCCCAAGGTTCAATCCCAGGACCAAAGAAAAAAATATACTTGCATTAGAAAAATTAGTGGCTGGCCAGATAGCTCAGAGGATTAAAGTGCCTGCTTAGGCAGAGCACAGTGGCCGGGGTTTGATCCACTGCGTTCCCCACTGGCCCTGCCCATGGGGCGCGCTGAGGCAAAATTGAGGGCATAGTGGTGCACACCTTTAATCCCAGCGCTGGGAGGCTGAAAGCAGGAGGATCACTATAAGTCCAATCTATGTAGTGAGACCCTGTAGACCCTGTACTAAACACATTAAAAAGAAAACAAAAAAAAGAAGAAGAAGAGTGTTGCATAATCTATGCTAATATAAAGTCTTGCAGGGGTTTGATGCCAGCACCACATGTTGCACTGGTCCCACCCCCGGGCACGCTGAGCCAGCCACCGAGTCCAGACATGGTAGTACATGTCTGCCTCCCAGCACTAGGGAGGCTGAAACAAGAGGATCACTACAAGTCCAAGCTGTGTAATGAGACCCTGTACCAAATACATTAAAAAATAAAGTTTTTAAAATTAATTTTATTGAGAAACAAATAGCAATGAGACGGTTTCAAAACAAATTAGTAGGACAGTTATAATAATTAGTACATTGCATATTGTTGTCTTTGTAGTAGTTATTTATAGTACAAGATATCCTATCCAAACACTATATCTTTCTTCTCATTGAATTAAGAGAAAGTAGCTGTATTTCTATCCTATTTTGTACACACAGATACAAAATGGTCCTTCATTTATATCCCCTTTTTTTGTGTAGTTTTGTCAGAGATGGGTATTCCATTACCATTTAAACATTGTAGGTGCGTGATTTCAGCAAAATAATCCAATATAGTCCAGTAGTCCATAATAGAAAAAATAAAGTCTTGCAAATGGATTGGAATGACTCTTTGGGACCAAATGTGTAACTCAATGCTTAGTGTATACAGGCCTGGAGTTAACCACCAACATGCATAATAAAACTTTGCTCAGTATGGAAATGAAATTGCAGAAAGGAGCAAATCAAGAAGATACATTGAATGTTAGAATAATCAAGAGCAGTGGAGGCGAATCCTGGGATTTGGGGCGCTGGTATCATTTCCAGGAGCAGGGCAGCTTGGAGCACACAGGTACTTGAGAAAGGCTTGAGTGAACAGGGCTGCCAGGTCCTCCCACTGTTCTCCACCACTGCCTATTCAGCTAATCAGTGTGCGCTGAGGAAAGATGAGCCGAGCCACTGATGAGCTTATGACGCTGACGGATGCACTGAACCTCTACTGCTCTCCGCTTCCTCACCAGCAAAATGAAAATGATCTTAGAGTTTATTCTTAGCACATTGAATGTAGTGTTTGGCCCATCCAATGTACACAATAAATGATTGCAATTTTAATGACTAGATCCCCAAAGATCTTTCTAATACACTTTAAAAAAAAATACTAGGAATTGAACCTGGAGGTGTTTTACCAATGAGCTTATGTTTAGACATTCATTCACTGATTAATTTTTCTCCTTTTTTTTTTTGGCAGAACCGGGGATTGAACTCAGGCCCTTGCGCTTGCCAGGAAAGTGCTTATTCCCCTGAGCCATCTTCCCGGCCCTCATTGATTAATTTTTGAAACAGCGTCTCACTAAGTTGCTTAGCAGGACTCAATCTTGCAGTCCTCCATCAGTCTCCCTCCTTGCTAGGAATACAGGCATGTGCCACAGTGATCAGCTAAGCGTATACTTTGTCATTAGAATTACAAATTTTCAGGCTGAGGAGATAGCCCAGCAGTGTAAATGCCTGCCTGGCAAACAGAAGGACCCAGCTGAATCCCTGGTATCGCGTGCTATGCCGGCCCTGCACCACACCAGCCACTGAAACCAGGCATGGTGGCACACACCCGTCGTAATCCCAGCACTGGAGAGGCTGAAACAGGAGGATCACTATGAGTCCAAACTGCGTAGCGAGACCCTGTACCAAGTAAATAAATAAAAATATTTTTTTTAAATTATGAATTTTCAAGGGGCCGGGGAGATGGCTCAGTGGAATAAGCGCTTCCCTGGCAAGTGCAAGGGCCTGAGTTCAATCCCTAGTTCTGCCAAAAAAAAAAAAAAAAAAAAAATTATGAATTTTCCTCTTGGCTCTGGCTGTTAGGAAACTCAAAGCCAA